AAGACAAAAAATACTTGTTTTCTAAATTCGTTTTTCAATTTGTTCTTTCTTCTAGTCATTGTTAAAGCAACAAACGGACCAAGATATGTCGTTGGTTGTCGACGTCAGGTAATACTTTCTGCTTTCATAAGGCTTTGTCACTGAAAGGAGTACTTTCATGAAAGTCACTTAATTCTTGAGATAGGCTGGTCAGGCGTTGTGCTGGTTAACTCCCAAGAGTGGTTTGTTCAGACACAGCAAATGATTAGCAAAGCCTGGATCCAAGTCATAACTTTTGCTCCTGGAATTTCTTAGTCCCTACCATTTCACATTGTCTAAGTCAGAGGTGAGTACTTAGAAATCAAATCAATTTAGAACTAGAAAAATTTGCTTTAATATAATGTCTTTCTTGAAGAGGGTTAAAAGTGTTAGGCTCTCAGTTACCTGTGTTTTACATTTAAAATATTAAAAAATGTTACTTAGAGACTCTACAGTAGTTAATTTTATAGGAGGTCAGTTAGACCAGAATAGGCAAGTTGAAATAACTTTGAATTTCATTTTGCAGACGTTAGAAAATACCACCAAGTAGCTTAGATCCAGTAGCATCTGCACTCTATATACCATTCTATTCTTTAGGAAGTGTTTTAAGTGTTGACTGGAAAACGTTTTCTGAGTATTTCATATCGAGTTTATGTTTTTAGTGTTGGTTTTGTTTTATGCAACTGGATCTTGCTATGTAGCCCATATTGACTTTAAACTAACAATACTGGTGCCTCAGCCTCCTGAGTGCCAGGGTAACAGGTATATGCCATTATGTCAATTTCAGGTTTTAAAACATTGATACAGCAAGAGTCTAGAGTAGTATTACCATTGATAGTAACTCTTTCTTAGGATTTCGGCATATAACTGGGTAATATTCTAATCCAATTTTACAAGTCTAGGGGCTGGAGGGATGGCTTAGCAGTTCAGAGCACTGACCGCTCTTCCAAAGAACACAGGTTCGATTCCAAGCACCTACAGAGGGGCTCACAACCATCTGGAACTCCATTCCCAAGGGATCTGACATCCACTTTTGGTCTCTGCAGACACCAGGCACGCACGTGTTAACAGTGTATATGCAGACAAAACACCCATATATGTAAAATAAGCATTTTGAAATTTTATAGGCCTAGGGTTGGGGATGTAGCTCAGTAGCAGAATACATGACAAGCATGTGAGAGACCTGAGGTTCAATCCCTAGTAATGAAAATATATTTTTGTTATAGCCTAATCAGGAGGGCTTTTGTATTCCTTTCAAGGCCCTCTAGATGCCAAAATTTGGCATTTCTAAGCTATTTCTTGATTGTGTTGAAATAGTTTCCTATAAAGACTGTTTTTTAAATGCTTAATCCATTATATTTAGTGTTTTGCCTGTTTTTACTTCATTGTCATGAGTGGTGTGTGTGTGTGTGTGTGTGTGTGTGTGTGTGTAAGAGAGAGAGAGAGAGAGAGAGAGAGAGAGAGAGAGAGAGAGAGAGAGATGTATGCATGTGATTTTGATGCACCTATGGGAAGGCCAGAGCAGAACATGGTTCTCCGTGTTACTACATTGAGACAGACTCTCATAGAGAACTGGAAGTCTTGGCTAGGTTGGCCAGCCAGTGAACTTGGGATCTGCCTATCTCCACTTACCAACACTTACTAACAGGCACCAGTAGCCATGTCTGGATTTTCACAGAAGTGAGGGGTGTGAGCTTGGGTCCTCCCTCTTGAAAACAGTGCTCTTACAAGCTGAGCCATGTCCTTACCCATCACTTCATTTTGAAATCACTAAGGCAACACCATCCTCTCCTGGTGTTATTTTGTGCCTGCCTGGTCATTTCTCAGCCTTCTACCCCTAACAGCCACATTTACGGTTCACAACCTTGACCATGGTTTGAATGTATTGTGTAGTGTCTGGAAGATACTGATAAGCCTTGGAAAAGAAGCAGATGTTACTAGGCAACTCCAAGTCCCTCACTAGTCTCCCTTCCCCTCATCCGCCAGCACTGATGTAATTAAGGTTTTGTCTCTAAAAATCCCTGAGCTTGGGCACCCAGAAACTTTCCAGAGATGAGAGCCCACTCTTGGTCTGGTCATTAATAAAGAACTAGACACTTTTAATTAATTTAGTCAGTGACTAAATGTTGAGTAATGTTTCCTTTTTTAAATGTTGGTGTAAAATTTTTTTGTTTTATAAAACCAGCTTGATAAAAGTAAACTGAAGCCAGGAACGAGAGTTGCTTTGGATATGACTACACTAACCATAATGAGGTGGGTTTCTTATTATTGTTTAATTTGCCTTTCATTTTCAAAGGGAAGGTTTTCTGAAAACACATGACTTGTAGAGTCATCAGAGATTTTATTACTTCTTACCATTTATTTATTTCTTATTAAGTTAAATGTCTTTAAGGTACTTATAGGTGCTTGCATAAGTAAATTGTTTATACTTACTGTATAAGCTGAGAGAAAATAAGTCTTTTGAAAGAAAAGATTTTTTTTTTTTCCATTTTAGGTATTTGCCAAGAGAGGTGGATCCTTTGGTTTACAACATGTCTCATGAGGATCCTGGAAATGTTTCTTATTCTGAGATTGGAGGGCTATCAGAACAGATTCGGGAGTTAAGAGAGGTAAGTGCTGTATTTCTTTATCTAAGACTACTGCACTACTGCTTTTAGGATAGCTGAAGAGGGAAACAGGATATAAAATCTTTTTTTTTTAGTTTCTGCATATTTTACATTTGAAACTCTGACTTAGAGTAGCAGTGAATTTCTAGCTATAGACGTAGCTGGTGTGTGTTTTTCTGGAGATGTTTGGTGTTAGGAAAATCCCTTTTGTGGAAAAAAAAAAGGTAGGGGAGAGTGAAGAATAATTGATAGAATCTAATGGCCTTGCCATTTATAGTTTTCACTGTCTTTAGTGTACTTAGGTCAGAGTATGTCAGGTAACATGCTGTGTGGTTTTTCCAGAAAGCCAGTAATGTTAACATCTCCGCACAATAGGAAATTGTTGTTACCTTTGCTGTAAATGTTTTTATCTTATTCAAACTATTTGTTGCTCATTAGGAAAAGACTGGCTATAGACGTGACTTAAAGTTTTTAAGCTGTTTTTTCCTTTTTTTTTAACTTTTTTGGTTTCCTCTATGTAGCCCTGGCTGTCCAGGAACTCCCTTTGTAGACCAAGCTGGGCTCAAGAGATCCCGCCTTCCTCTGCCTCCCGAGGGCTGGGATTAAAGGCGTGCGCCACCACTGCCCGGCACCATCCGGCTTTTAAGTGACGAATCAGATTAGGATTGCCTTGCCTCGTAACCCAGGAAATTCTATTGTTGTACTGATATATTTTTCCTGATGCAAGCCTAAGTGTTTAGGAATGACTGAGAAGGGTTGGAAGTAGTTCTTGGATGAGTAGTTCATAGTGGTTCATAATTCTTAGACCTCAGCTCATTAACCTTTCTGAAACAGTTATTAAGGTATAGGCTCCTTGAGCTGTTAAGCTAGCCTAGCCAGTAAACATGCTTGCCATACAAGCCTAGTAACCTGAGTGTGATCTCTGGGGCACAGATAAAAGAGGAACGCAGAATTGACTCCATGAAGTTCTCTTCCGATGCCTACAAGTGTAGTGTGGCACATGCACCTCCTCCCCATCATGTGCAAGTGCACACGTACATACGTGAGGACACACATGCACGCGCATGCTTTTTATCCTCAGATGTTTTAGATGTAGATGGTTTTTGTTTTTTTCACACCTTTGTTTGTCCTAACCATGCTTTACAGGCATAATTATCACATAGACGTTGTTGGTACTCCTGTAGTTGGTACTATAAATAAATTGGATGACCAGATCCTCTTCTTCCTCTTCCTCCTCTTCCTCTCTTTCTCCTCTTCTTTCTCTTCCTTCTCTTCCTCCTCCTTGATAGACCCCAGGGCCTTGGGCATGTTAGGCAAGTACTCTACCAACCGAGTCTCTGTCCAGCTCTTTATTTTTCTTGATGTGAATTGAAGAGTAGAAAACAGAGCTGGTGTTTGTTTAAGGCTGTGACACAGTACCAACAGAGGAAATTTATATCTTTTCTCTCGGTGACCATTCATGACATCAAAAACATTCCTTAGTTTATAACTATTTTGTGTCGTATTCTGTAATTATTAAAGATATTTTTATTCTTTGCTGATTATTACTGTTATTATTTTATTTATTTATTTTGGTTTTTTGAGAAAGGATTTTTTTGTATATCCCTGGCTGTCCTGGTACTCACACTATAGACCAGGTTGGCCTCAAAACTCCAGAGATCCACCTGCCTCTGCCAGCGGAGTGCTGGGATTAAAGGCGTAGGCCACCACCAACTGGCTAATATTATTTCTTTAATACTGGGAATTCAATTTAGGACTTCCTGTGTGCCAGGCAGGTGCTCCACCACTGAGCTGCACTCTAGTTCTTTTTCACTGTCTCCGGAGACAGGGTCTCAGTACATTATCCACTCAGGACTTGAATGGCAGTCATCCTGCATTAGCCCTCTGCAGGTGGATGCCACCAGGCCCAGCGTCTCTGACTTCTTTATAGTATAATTTTTATTAAGGCAAAATGTGAACCTGATAAAGGCACAGGTTTTAAGTATGCATTTCTAGTATATTTTTATGAAGTATATACCTGTGTATAATCTAATATAGCTTGCTAAAGCCAACCATTTTCTAATTTTAAGAGATCTCCATCTTAAATAAAACCAAAACTATTTAAGTCATTTTGTACAGCATGGGAAGTGTAGTTTTCTTATAGATTATATAGCATGGTATTAGACTTTAAATATTTTAAAATATATTAAAATTTTTACTGTTTAAGAAACATGCAACTTCTTTTTCAGGTAATAGAATTACCTCTTACAAACCCAGAATTATTTCAGCGTGTGGGAATAATACCTCCAAAAGGCTGCTTGCTATATGGACCACCAGGTTGGTATCAAATTGTCTCTACCTCTTCAATAAAGGCATAGATGAAGGAATGAGAAAGTAGTCAGCTAGGAATTTAATGTAGGCAGTTCCAGTCTCTACTCTACTAAGATTGAGAGTGAGGTAAGGGTTGTGCATCTGCTGGTCCCTCTGTGTCTTGTTCCAGGCATGTAATTCTATAGACAATAGTCCTTAAACTGCAATTCATGAATATGGATATTCCCAAGACACTTTGATGGCGCCTTCAAGTCAGAACTGCTGTCATCAGACTGATACATTAGTTGACTGTTCCTAGTGTTGACATCTCCTGATGGTACAGGCACTGTAGGTTGGGTTGTCCAACACTGGCATTCGACACTGCTAGTAGTCACTGTTGTTGAATGCCATGTACCTGCAGTGTCAGCAGAAATGCAGTTTCACTCTGAAGTGTTGCTCCTAGAGGGGTAAAAAGGATTGATTAAATTTTCATCCTTGAGGAATGTTTTGTGTAATGAAATAGGAAAAATAAATAAGTATGTTGTGTGATTGCATGCTGAAAAATATAATGTGTTTAGGAGAAACATTCATTTAGTTATTTGAGTGCCATCTAAGTGAGAGGCTTTACATGAAATAGTTTTTACTTGAAAGGACAGTTTGTGGTGATTAAATATTGATTATTCAGACTCGCAATTGATTATTTAGCCTACAGTTTTTCTGGAATGATTGAAATGAGTGGTACAACTTGTTAGTCACAAACTTTGAGATATCAAGTGAAATTAGAATTTTTTTAAAAAATTTATTTTTGAATATGTGTATCTTAGGGTTTCTATTGCTGTGATAAAACACCATGATCATAAACAATTCAGGGAAGAAAGGGTTTATTTCAGCTTACAACTCTCAGGTCACAGTTCATTGCTTAGGGAAGTCAGGGCAGGAACTCAAACAGAGCAAGAACCTGAAGGCAGGAGCTGATGCAGAGGCCATGGAGGAATGCTGCTTACTGGCCTCTTCATAGGGCTAACTTAGTTTGCTTGCTTGCTTGCTTGCTTGCTTTCCTTATGCTTTGGTTTTTTTGAGACAGGGTTTCTCTGTAGCTCTGGCTGTTCTAGATCTCACTCTGTAGACCAAAGCTGGCTTTGAACTCAGAGATTTGCCTGTCTCTGCTTCCCGAGTGCTGGGATTAAAGGTGCACACCACCACTGCCCGGCATAAATAATTTTTTAAAAAAATATTTGTTTAGTGTGCATATCCCATAATTGTAAGAATAATTTTTTATTTATTTCTAAAGTTCTGTATTCATTATGCTTAAAATTACAAGATGAAGATACTCTCTCACACCTGTTAGAATGGCTGTTATCAAAAAAGGAGTGAATGAAGCCGGGGTGGTGGTGGCACACGCCTTTAATCCCAGCACTGGAGGCAGAGGCAGGTGGATCTCTGTGAGTTCAAGGCCAGCCTGGTCTCCAAAGCGAGTGCTAGAAAAGTCACAAAGCTACACAGAGAAACCCTGTCTCAAAAAAACAAAACAAAAAAGGAGTGAATGAATGTAATGAATAAGGATGTTGGCAAAGATATGGAGAAAAAAGAAATTTTATATTACTGATAGGAATGTAAATTGATACAATCATTTTAGAAAACAGTATGGGGTTATTCAGAAAATTAAAAATAAAACGACTATATAACCTAGCAATCCTGTATGAGTGTGTGTGTTCAGGCACGTGTATGTAAAAGCAGCTGAAATCAGTATGTTGAAGAGACATTTGCACACCCATGTTCATTGTAGTACTAGTTACAATGGCCAAGATAAGAAAACCTCAGTATCCATCAGTTGATGAAAGGAAAAGAAAATGTGGATTATGTACACAGTAGAATATGGTTTAGTCTTGAGAAAGAAGTTAGTCCTGTCGTTTGTGTCACCGTGGAGGGTCTTGCAGTGACACCGAGTGAGGCAAGCAGGCCCAGAGAGACAAATACCACTTGATCTCACTTGGGTGGGACATTTTTGAAAGTTGAAATTGTAGAGAACAGTTTATTTTAAAGGGACTGAGGAAAGAGAGATGAACTGAGTTTACAGATTACAAAAAAATATAGCCGTTGCTGTATTAGATATTTCCAGATTGGTGAAAGAATAGACTTTAATTGTTTTCACTACAAAGTAATAAATATGTTAATAGATATGTTAATTAGCTTGATTTAATCATTCTACAATATATATACCAGTGTCATACTTTTATTGTTTACAGTTATTTCCCAATTAAAATCAGAGATATTTCAAGTTAAAATTAAAAGTTTTAATATTTCAAGTAAATTACTTTAGAGTTTTAAATGGAAATTCTATTTGGGATTTAGCTTCAGTTTTAGAAGATTTACTGCCAGTGGGGTATGTTGTTGTTTTATGTGTCTGTGTATCTGTGTGTGTGAAGGCCATATGTAGGTGAGTGCCCATGGAGGCCAGTTCTCCTGGAACTGGAGTTGCAGGCAGTTATGAGCTGTCTAACGAGGAGCCAGGAACTGGACTCTGGGCCTTGGGAAGAGCAGCATTCTTTATCACGGAGCCATCTCTCCATCTCCAAGACTGTGTTGTTGAAAGGCTTTTAAAAGTGGTTATGCTTTTAACCTAACTACATTTGATATTCCTAGGCACTGGGAAAACACTCTTGGCCAGAGCTGTTGCTAGCCAGCTGGACTGCAACTTCCTAAAGGTATGGGGAAATTCTTTTATAATTATTGAAATGAAATTTATTTGAACTGTCTAATTTATATACTATTATTTTTCTTTTAATCAGGTTGTATCTAGTTCTATTGTAGACAAATACATTGGTGAAAGTGCTCGTTTGATTAGAGAAATGTTTAATTATGCCAGGGACCACCAGCCATGCATCATTTTTATGGATGAAATAGATGCTATTGGTAAGAGTGACACCTTTTGAATTTTATCTTAAATTTTATCTTTTTTAAGTGTTAGAGGAAGTTGTTTAAAAACTGAAAGAACCTCCTGCCTGACCAGTAGTTATGACTTGTATGAAATCGGTAGCACAGTGAGTGGGCATTCCCAGAGTACTGCCTGCCTGGTAGGACTTCTCAGAGGTTGGAGAGCGGGACCAGTTTTAGTAAATAACCTTGAACATTAATAAAACCAGAAATATTCTAAAGTCATTTCTCACCTAGTATAATTCTGTTTAATTTCTGTGTAGTATTTTTAACCTGGGTACTATTACATTCTGTTTTATTTAATGATGGGCACAGAGCAAAAGAGTAATGTGTATGTGTTTCCAAACTTATTACTTTAGGTGGCCGTCGGTTTTCTGAGGGTACATCAGCTGACAGAGAGATTCAGAGAACTTTAATGGAGGTAATATTTGGTAAAGAGGATATATGTAAAGAAACTTATTAATGAAAAAGTGAAGATTGTATATTTGAAGTTGAAAATGTTTATAGCAGTTTAGATGGAGAATTAAAACATGAAATTTGAAATGTTGCCAGGAATGAACACATTCATATGTCATAATTCCTAATAAGAAAATGGCTTATTATTTTCAATGGCTCAGTGGGGAAGAGTGATTGCTTTGTAAGTATGATGACCTGAGATAAAATCCCCAGCACTCATTTAAAAGACTTTGGCAGTTGTGCATCTATAACGCCAGCATAATGAGGGGTGGAGACAGGAGAGTTACCAGGACCTGCTTACTCGACTACTGCCGGTCTAACTTCAGGTTCAATGAGAGACTCTGTGTCCAGGGAATAAGGCAGAGAGGCAGAGCAGTATGGTGACATGCTTCCACTGTGACCTCCAAAACAACCGCCCCCCCCACCTCCCCCCCATACATATTACATCTACACACGTACACCAAAGAGGGAAGTAACTATTGCTGAAGAACAGGAAAAGATGGGAAAGGTTGATAGTGGTCACCAAGTAGACGAGAACAAGCTGTTGTGTTGTCTGCTAGGTATTGGGGTATCTTTATAAAAATCAATTAGTGTGTATTTCAGAACAGTAAGAAAAAGTAGTGTTTTCACCTTAAAGAAATGATAAGTGAGGAAATACATATGTTTCACCTGATTTAAGTGTTACACATGTACGCATGTATTAAAACATATGTTACCATCTAAATGTGCAGGGTTTTTTGTTTGTTGTTTGTTTTTTGAGACAGGGTTTCTCTGTGTAGTTTTGGTGCCTGTCCTGGAACTCACTCTGTAGACCAGGCTGGCCTCGAACTCACAGAGATCCGCCTGAGATCCGCCTGCCTCTGCCTCCTGAGTGCTGGGATTAAAGGCATGCACCACCTCCGCCACCAAATGTGCAGTTTTAATGTTAAAGAGGGAAAATGAAGAGAAAAATGGATACTAAAAAGCAAAGTTACTGGACTGGGTGTGGTGGCGCACACCTTTAATCCCAGCACTCAGGAGGTAGAGACAGGAGAATCTCTTTGAGTTTGAGGCCAGCCTGGTTTACAAAGCGAGTTCCAGGACAGTCAGGGCTGTTGTACAGAGAAGCCCTGTCTTGAAAAATCCAACAAATAAATAAAGTTATCTGCAAAATTCTACTTGGTAAAATTGCACCATTCTATAGTTTGTTTTTTAATAGATCAGCTATTCAGATGCACAAATTATATCATTTCTTAAGCATATGGCTTTGTGCTACTTTGGTGATGGTATGAATGAATAACATGTATTAAGATTGTTAGTAGTAAATAAGATACATTTATGCTTGTGGCTGCTCTAAAAACCACTCTTTATTGCTAAGATTGTGGCAACTAAAATAGAGTTTTTAAAAAAGTCTTGAATTCTTTGACAACTTCATACGTACATACATACAGTGTATCTTCACATCTACCCTTACTCCTTCCTTCCCACCCTCCAGACACTCCTAACACTGTCCCACCTTCGTAGTCTCTTTCTGTGTAATAACTCACCAGTCGTTAGTGTTTCCCAGCTGCCATCAGTTACCGGTACCTCCTCAGGAGCCCACCAGTGGGGGTGGGATTATTGACTGGCTTGATCTTGGGCAGGTAGTTTGTGAGTTCATGACTGCAGTTCCCCTTCACACCCAGAGGCTCCCGCTCTCCGGCTCTTTTCCACCCGGTCGTCTTTCACACTGGAGTCAGCCTGGCGGGGCAGACTAGTTTAATACTGGGGAGATAGGTGGTGAAGAGAAGAAGGCACACAAAGCAAGACCCTCGCTGCATATGGAAACTAGGTAGCACGGGGTGTTCGATTTGAACCCTTTTGTGTTGTGGTGTGAAAATCACTTCACAAATACATTGATCTACTCAGAAGATGAGCAGTTTCGCTGGGGCAGGTTTAGACAGGCTGTCTTCTGTGTAGCCTGACTAACTTGGAGCTTGTATGGACCAGTCAGACCATTCACTTTGGACTGTATATACAGTATTTTAGACTTAAAATACAGTCTTAGAAATCTTAAATTGGGGTCCTGGGAATATAGTGCAGTTGGTAGAGTTCTTGGCTAGCATGCATGAAGCTCTGGGTTTGGTCCCTACCTCCAAATAAACAAATTTAGGTGCCCATGGCTGTAATCCAGCTCTTGGAGGTAGACTTAGGTCAACCAGAAGTTCAAGGTCATCCTTAGCTGCATAGTAAATTTGAAGCTAGGCTGGGGTACATGAGACCCTGTGTCAAAACAAGAACCAAAGCCAGAAGTACTTTAGAACAACATAATTATTAGTGTTATTCATATAACTGATAATGTTATCAACTAGCAGGCATCGTCTGTTAGCTACTTATCATTTAATAATTTTATTATTTCATTAAATTTTGTGTTTATGTGCACATACATGGATGTGTTTGGTAAAGTCTGTCTCTTGATTTTTTTATTTAGTTACTAAATCAAATGGATGGATTTGATACTCTGCATAGAGTTAAAATGATCATGGCTACAAACAGACCAGATACACTGGATCCTGCTTTGCTGCGTCCAGGAAGATTAGATAGAAAAATACGTGAGTTAATTTCTTATTTGCTCTGTTTCTCTCTGTCTTTGTCAATTTTTTTCTTCTTATCCACCTTCCTCTTATCTTATTAAACCAACAACTGGAATACAAAATAATTTCCTATTATTTTCAGATATCGATTTACCAAATGAACAAGCAAGATTAGATATATTGAAAATCCACGCAGGCCCTATTACAAAGCACGGTGAAATAGGTAAGAAAGTCGAGTGTTTTGTTTGTGCATACGTCTAGTGATTAAAGCACAGCATTATGGGACACTGCTCTTGGTTTGCTGAACCGCGGTTTGCTTCTTTGTTCATGGTTTTTGAAGACAGCGTTTTTCTGAGTAGCCCTGGCTGTCCTGAAACTCGCTCTGTAGACCAGGCTGGCCTTGAACTCAGAGATCTGCCTGCCTCTGCATCCTGAGGGCTGGGATTAAAAGCTTGCGCCACCATGCCCACCCGTCTTGAGCCTGGTTTTACATTAAATACATGGTGGTTCTAATTGAGTACATTTTGCTGAGCTTACAGTGAGTGCTAGGAGTCAGAAATGCTAAGAGTGGCATGGTAGTGAATGGAACACATTCTGGCCTTGAAGATCTCATTACGTCACAAAAGACAGATGAAGTACGTGAAAGATAGTGCAGATTAGATGGTGATGAATGGTGCGGAGGAAAGTAGAGCAAAGACGAGGAGATGAGAAGTATCAGGAGATTTTGAAATGGGGGAGAGGTTAGCAGGCTGAAGGTTTTACCAAGAGAGCCATGTATATATATGTATGTAGTGTTTGCATGTGCTTCTGTGGATAGACATGTACACCTGAGAGCAGGAGCCCACAGAAGACCCTTGGTGTCAGGTGTTGGATCCCTTGGAGCTGGAATTACAGGTAGTTGTGAGCTTCCTGATGTGGGTTATTGGAACCAAACTTGGTTCTTCTACAAGGGCAGTATGTACAAGGGCTCTTTACTGTTAAGCCATCTCTCTAGTCCCCAAGGAGGTCATGTTTAAGCTATGGCTCGAAAAAATGAGAGATTAGATATAGATACTGGAGGAAGACCCTGCGCAGATGGGTGCCTGGCACATTCAAGGAGCAAGCAAGAGACTCAGGGCTCTGGAAGAGTAGGGCCCTGTGGACAGTAGCAGAAGCCTTGGAAAGGATGGTGGGGACTGGACTGTGCAGTGCCAATGGAGGCCATGAGGTAGGAACTTTGACTTTAAATTATGATGCCAACCTCAAAGTTTAGTTGGTTCTCAACAGGTACATGTTTAAGTTAATTTGAAAGTTGGATTTCGATTTTTGCTTTCAGTATTATTCTTGGCTTGGCCAGGCTTGTTCATCTGAAACTTCGGCTGCCTGTTGCATGTTTAAAAAGCAAATGAATTTTAGGCATGCCATTTCCTGTATGCATACGTCAGTTCACACACACACAAAAAAAAATGTTTTGATAGCCTGCTGGGGACACACTGGAGAGCAACAGAGAAAGAAATTAGAGGTTATTCAATGAGAGATAAAAAATGGTGGGGATGTGGTAAAAGCTTCCCTCCCAGATTTATTAAGATATCATTAAAGTCCTTTAAAATAGACTTGGAAGTCAAACATGATGGCACAGGCCTGTGTTGCCCACACTTGGAAAGTGAGGCAGGAGGGTCAGAAATTCAAGATCAGCCTCAGCTACAGAGAGTCTGAAATAGCCATAGCTCCATGAGACCTGACTCAGTCGGTCATTCCATCAGTAAACAAAAGAGACTCTGGATATAGTTTATGGAGGTAAGAATCAGAACTATACAGTGTACGATGCAGACTATGGAAAGAAGCAAGAAAGGTTTAGGTTTGGAGGGCTGGTGAGGTGGCTCAGCGGTAAAGGAGCTTGTCCCCAAGCCTGACAACCTGCGATTGATCCAGCACTGTGTGGTGCAATTCCTGCAAGTTCTCCTTTGCTTCCCACATGTAATTCTTGGTGTGTACACCCATACTAACAGACACATATAATAAGTGAATAAGAAGCCAGGCAGTGCTGGTGCGCACTTTTAATCCTAGCACTCAGGAGGCAGAGGCAGGCAGATCTCTGAGTTCCAGGACAGCCTGGTCTATGCAGAGAAATTTCCTCTGAAAAAAGCAAAATAAATAATCCTTGGCATACACACCCATACTAACAGACACACATAATCAAACAAATAAACAAACTAAAGTATTAGAGGCGGAAGAATGAGAGCTGTGATGTCCTGTGCTGGCAGTAGAGCAAATACAGCGTTCTGGGAGTGGACCTCAAGGTCTGGTTACGCAGGCTCGGGTAGCCTGTCACAAGGGATTTGGGCGTGGTGGCAGTAAAAGTTTCCTCAACTTCTTTCATTGTGATTATGAGGAGAGGCCACTGGTTTTATTTATCTGTTTGTGAATGTGTGCCTGTTTGAGTTTATGTGTACTTGATGTATCCAGGTGCCCTTGGAGATCAGAAGAAGGAATCAGATCCTCTGGGACTGGAGTTAGAGGTGGTTGTGAGCTGCCATGTGGGTGCTGGGAACCTGAACTTAGGTCCATTGCAAGAGCAGTAAGTGCTCTTAGCCACCTCTCCAGTCCCAAGATTTCATTTACGGAGTTCTGCAAAGGAGGCAGAAGAAATAGAGCTGTAGCTGGGCAGGAATTGGAGATGAGTGTTTGGTCGAGCTTTCTATTTTCTTCCTTCCTTCCTTTTTTCCTAAGACAGGGTTGCATGTAGTGTAGTTAGTTTAGAATGTACTGTGTAGTTGAGGGTGACCTTGAACTGCTGAACCTCTTGGCCTTTTCAAGGCTGTGTCCACACAACTGGTTTATGTGATGCTGGTGATCACATTCTGGGCTTTGTGCATGATGGGAAGCAACTTTTTCAGCCAATCTACATCCAAAGCCTCAGAGGTTTTTTTTTTTTTTTTTTTTTTTTTTTTTTTTTTAATGAAAAGGTTTACCACATTTTCTTTTTTTTTTTTTTTTTTTTTTTTGAGACAGGGTTTCCTTGTATAGCTTTGGAGCCTGTCCTGGAACTCGCTCTGTAGTCCAGGCTGGCCTCCAACTCACAGAGATCTGCCTGCCTCTGCCTCCAGAGTGCTGGGATTAAAGGCTAGCGCCACCACCCGGCTTCCACACTTTCTTGAAATGCAGCTAGGAAAGCTCTACAAAGAAAGGAACTGACAGGGCATTTTGTCTGTCTGAGTGTACCTTTCGTTTCCGAGCCTAGAGGAGGAGCAGATTGAATCCAGGCTGCTGCTGACAGGCTCTCAGTCAAGCTAGGACTTTATGGACTCCTTGGAATGCTTTCCTCTTCTCAGAAAAAGAAAGTGCAAACTCAAGTGAAGAGGGGGAAGTCTTGTTACAAATCTGAGGCAGAGGAAAAAGTATAAAATGGTTACACGTGTGGGCTGGAGAGATGGTTTAGCAGTTATGAGCACTGGCTGCTCTTCCAGAGGACCTGGATTCGATTCCCAGCACACACATGTTAACTACCTGTAACTCTAGTTCCCAGGCCTCTGATACTCTCTTCTGCCCTCAGAAGGTACTGCATGCCTGTGGTGCACAGACAAAGACGCAGGCACAGCACCTGTACACACAAAAGTACATTTAAAATTTGTGTTATTAAGTGCCTGTGTAAACGAGGGACTGGGCTAGAGCAAAATGTGGCTTATGAGTGGAATTTTACTTGCCTGCTCTTTTTGTAATAAAAGTTTTGTTGTAGCACGTCTGTACCATCCATTTATATACCATTATGTCTGTCTTCCCACCACAACAGTAGATGAAGTAGTTTTGACAGGACAGATAGCCCACAAAGCACCAGTTCTTACTGTTTGTCCTTTTGCACAAAATGTTTGTTGACTTCATAACTAGGGGAATCTAGTCTAGTTGGTCAACAGCTTTTAAAACCCTCTAGAATGGGCTGGCAGGCAACACAGCAGCGGATTGCTTGTCTAGAGTACTTGAGGTTCTGGGTTCAATCACCATTCCCACTAAAACAAGAGAATTTCTTAGAGCTAGGCATAGTGTCACCCAGCTTTCCAGCACTGTGGAGGCAGAGGCAGGAAGATCTCTTGAGAATTTGAGGTCTGCTGAGTCTACATAGAAAGTTTCAGGCTAGCTAGGGCTACAAAGTAAGACCCTGTCTCCAAACAAAAAAGAAAAACCCTTTACAACTTAATGGTTACAAATAGCTACAAATAGTTGACTGTTACTGCTCATTTTTTGTTTCTATGAGGATTTTAAACTGGAGAGATTGATCTAAATAAAGGATGCCAGATTCTAAGTATCTTCTACAAATACTGAGCTCTCGAAAGATGTTAGATACTGTGATATCCTTGGGAATCCCTGCTCTCAGGAAGCTTACAGTGACATGGACATGATTAAGTACTAACTAACTAATCACCCAGAGATTGCACAGAGATTGTTCTGTCGGTATTGCCTGACAGAGGTGTTCCATCATTTGTTCATACCGAGTAGCCTGTGCTCTGTTGTTTCCCTCTCTGATCTCTTGTCAGACTCCTACCTAGCACAAACTGTAGCTCTTCAACACACGTCTATTTTGTGAGGAAATAGAGACGTCACTTTTTTTTTTTTTTTTTTTT